CGAGGGGGCCAGACAGGTACATTCAGGTTGCTTGATCATTTCCACTCAGAGACATAGATCATTTCTGAATCGCAAAGCCCCAGGCCAGAGGAAGACGCTTGACTTTCCCGAGATGAGAAAGGCAACCGTGCAATTCTTTTAAGCAAAATACCCTTAAAGTGCTGAGAGGTGCGTCTCAGTACTCAGGGCCCCTTGGAGGAGCGATCTTTTACTTGTTTATTTCATATATGATTATTCTGACAAGGTAGACAGACAGGCCTGCCTGCTGCCAGGACCCCACTGCTTCTAACACGCTTCTAACACCTGGCACGTGGTTAAAAGATCGCTCAGTTTAGGAAGGTGAAGCCTTAATATGTTGTCATTTGGTTTGCTCATAAAATTATCATGCTAAGGATATTCAGTTTTGCCATCCAGAGTCACCTAGAAGGTCCACAGAGCTGGTGCAGAGATGGGGGGGATTCCCAGACATCAGCCGGAGCCCCCAGTGTAGCCGAGGGTCTCCTGGGCAAACCCAGGATCTGGGCAGGGCAGCAGGGCAGCAGGGCCCCGGTGAATCAGGCACCTCTGCTCTCGCTGGTTTTATATCTTGGGCGTTCACAGAAGTCTTCATTTGAAGAGAGGATTTTACAGTTAAGGAAAGTTTGGCAGCCATGGGCCTGGATGAGCTGGGGAGCTCATTTTGCGGGGAATAACCTGATGCCCACGGAGGGGCAGAGCCCTGTAGAGGCCACATGGCAAGTGTGACACAGTCGGTGTCAAAGAGCCCCGTCGCTGAGCCCGCATCCTTCCCAGATGGCCTCCCCATTTGTCGTCCTCTTAAAAAGATCCTGGGTGGTATACACAGGTGTTTACTTATTCATTTTATACTTTTTATATTTTAAAAATAATATTTCAAAAATGACCAAAACCGCACAAACATTTTTTCCTTTGGGCCTGGGGATTCCCACCTCCACCTCCCCTCCCATTCTTAAATGACATAACGTGTGGACCCTACGTCAGCCAGCAAGCACCCCAGTGTCTGTGAGACACTGAGCCCTGTAGCACTGGACCAGGAAAATGGGGACAGCGGGGGGACGAGGAGGCAGGCCCGCAGCCGGTCACCTGGTTTCCATCTCACTTGACACTGTGCCTGTGAAACCTGGCTCTGCTTTCCGGCCCTCTGGGCCTCTCCCCCCAAGAGCGAGAACAGAGACCTTTCCAGGCAGGAGAAAAGAGCATCCCCTGGCCGAGCAGAGACTCGCTGTCAGGGGGTTTATGTAACTGCTTGAATTGCAGCCCCAACTGAAAAATCATTTCTGTCCATCTGGAGTGGATTTAAGAGATGAAGGAAAAGTAAATGACATAAACCTGTGGAATGTTTGAGAAAAGTGCATGGAGGGAAGAAAGGTACAAGGGGTGGCATTAATTAAGCCATCCCTGCAGGGAAGGGCTCCCGGGGGAGTCTGCTGCGCCAGGAGGTGCTCTGCAGGTTTACTGAGTAATTTCTGAATCTTGGAGAGAGAAGGGACCCAGTAGTTAGGAGTAGTAGTAGGGCTAATGCCCATCAGGCACTTACCGAGTGTCTTACAACCCCACGAGGTAGGTATTATTGTCATCCCCATCTTACAGATGGAGAAACTGAGGCTCAGAGGCTGAGTAACTTGGCCGAGGCTGCCAGTAAGACTTATCCGTGCCCTTTCCTCTCGTCGTCAGCCGCCTCAGGGTTAGGAACCCAGTGTCGCCCATCACTTCCCTGTGGGTTTAGGCTTGGGCTCTCGGTCCCATTCAACTGGTGACGCTGGCAGAGAACCAGTAGCTTGGAGCATCTGCTGCAACTCTGCCTCCTTCACTGGGCTCAGGTGGCCCCCGGGCCACTGTGTGGAGCCAAACGCCCAGTCCTGTCTGACCTGACTCTTTCTAGGGCGAGGTGTGCGACTGTACTACATCGGAGGGGAGGTCTTCGCAGAGTGCCTCAGCGACAGTGCCATCTTTGTCCAGTCTCCCAACTGTAACCAGCGCTACGGCTGGCATCCAGCCACCGTCTGCAAGATCCCACCAGGTAACCCCTCCCACGCTCCCACCCCTTCCCTGAGGGCCTCTCTTCTGTGCTGGAGAGGTTTCTTCTTTCCCACCTTTCCTCCTCCTTGGTGTCTGCATTGCCAGTCTGGAGATGCTTCACTTGGGTTCTCTCTGTGCCTTTCTGTCTTACTGGGGCCTCCCTGAACCTCTGGGGAGAGGGTGCAGCATCTGACAGATCTGCCTTTGGTCTGTGGGTACCTGCTCGTTGCCTGCGTGCATGGATGCTCAGGTACTCTGCTGGCTCCCTCCCTTCCTCCTTCCTTCCTACAGCCATGCCGGGTGCTGTAGGGGGATGGAGGGGTGCGCGAAGCCCCGCTGCTGTCCCCCACAGACCTTACTGATCAGCTGAGTATCCAAGATAAAGACACAAATGGGTTTAATATGAGGGAGGGTGCTAAGCACCAAGACAGCAGCACAGCCAAGGTGCTCACGGATCCAAGGGGAAGAACACATTTAACTGTCAGGATGGATCAGGGAAGGCTTCATGGAGGAGGAGGCATTTGGGCTTGGAAGGGTGGGTAAGCATTAGGCACAGGGTGATGGTGAGGTG